CAAAAAAAAAAAAAAAAAAAAAAAAAAAAAAAAATGTGTCTAGGACAAACTATAGAAGCTTTTCAAATCCTAGACAATTAATATTTATGCAAAGTGCGCATTTTAAAATTACTTCCAGAATCAAAATTATTAGAACTGCCAGGGACTTAGCTCTGTGGCACCGCACCTGCCTTGCAAGCACAAGGTCCTGAGTTCAATCCCTGGTACAAAGGGGGGAAAAAAGTGAGTTCTTGAAAGATCAGATTCAATTTTCAAGGGCTACAAAGCATACCTGTATTTTATTCTACTTTCTGTTTAGCTCATATTTTAACAATGCAAACTTTTAGATGAATTAGGCACATAACGTCCTGTGATAGCAAATAGGAAATACCCTTCTCTTCTAACTTGATTCCCTAGGCATGAGCTCCCCCACCCCATCTATATATTGAGTTTTTCAATTATCACAATTTTAATTTTCAGGGGCTCTTTTTTTTCACTAATTATGAAAAGCATCCTGTGTTTATTTTATAGATAAAATATGGTCTGTATATCTAAGCACATCAATGGTAGCTTTTATTTTTACTGAGTTTCTTCTTGCACAGTCTATTTCCACCAAGTTGTCTTTTTAAAAAAAAATATTTTGTTTTGTTTCTTTTGGTATCTGCCCCAATATAAATGTCCCCACCAAAACTCATGTTGAAATCCATTCTTCATTGTGAGGTATTAGGAGGCAGGACCAAATGGGACCATTAAGAGGCGACTGGTTCCTGAAAGTAGAGACATTGCTGCATTCCTCCATTACTGCATTAATGGGCTATTAAGGGAGTGGTTATTAAGGGGATGGTTATCACAAGAGTGGGAATTCATCAGATAATAGCTAAAACTGAAATAAGAATAGCAATATGACTGGGTAAAAAAAAAGTCTATGCAACCAGGTGGTTTCCAATTCTTTGTTTTTAAAATTAAAAGAAGACCAAGTGAAGTAGCACCTACTAGAACATTAGAAACTTTTTATTGGTAGTGCTTTATATGTTTTTGGCATATAACTTAGAAGGAATTTAACAATCTGATATCTTAAATTTATGAGAATAAGTTTTCTTAGCCCTGTAACAACAGAAATAGCATTAATACAAAATATTATATCATTCGGCAGGGCATGGTGGTTCACACCTGTAATCCTGGCACTCGGGAGGACTACTACAAGTTTGAGACCATCTTTCACATGCTAAGTGATTAAGCTCTTATGTTTTAACTGATGGAAATTTATAGTGAATTCAAGGCCAGCCTGAACTACGTAGAGAGACCCTGTCTCAAAACAAAACAAACAAACAAAAAATACTATGTCATTCATGCAGTATTTTATTCACACAGACCTGAGCTAATGGATAAAAGATCCCAGCCTAGTCATACTATTGAGAGGTACATTTCTAATTAAAATTTATGCTTTGTACCAATAATATTTCTCAAAATTGGAAATATGTGTCTTGTTTTGATTAATTATATGTGATCAGTGGTACTAGTAATGACTCAGTCAAGATTACCCCTAATAACCCATGGTCATAGAATATTTAGAAATCTTGCAATACAGAGATATTTTTGATATAAAGAACTATGACACTGTGATCAATAAAAGATTGCCGAACATAAAATTCTTTTACATTATAACAAAACTCTGGGGAAAGTATAATGGAAATATGAGTTCAAGAAGAAAAGGAAACTATAAATTTCCATCAGTTAAAAAATAAGAGCTTGATCACTTAGCATGTGAAAGATCATTGATTAAATCTCTAGAACTATGAAAAGAAAAAAGAGAAAAAGAAAGAAGAAGAAATTGGACAGCTTGAGCATGGCACAGTAGCACACAGGTGTCATCCCAACTACTTGGGAAGCTGAGGCAAGAGGATTACAAATTTGAGGCCAGCCCAGGCAATTTAGTAAGACTGTGTCTCACAATAATACTAAAAGGGCCCGGGGATGTAGTTCAGGGTTGGAGTACTTGTATGTGCACGGCCCTGAGTTCAATCCCCAGTGCCAAAAAGGAGGAAGAGGACAAGGAAGAAGAGTAGTTTGTTCAGTATTTTTTAAATTGAATAATATGAGTATAAAATCACCATGATACTTAGATTCCATTGCATTACATTTCTAAGAGTGACATTATAGAGCCATAATAACTAGTTTAAAAAAAACTGTAACAGCTAGTTTTATTTTAAATATTAATATTTAAAATATTCTGGAAGGTACATCGTTAGCAACTACTTATACACTTAGAATTTTCAAATCTAGATGTTTACTTAAAGCATATCAATAGGTACATTATTTTTAAAATTCCTTTAAGAGATTTGTGAGAAAAAAAAGCTCAAAGCTCTACGAGGCTATAATTATGGTTTGGTTTATTCTCTGTCTCTCTCTCTTCCTCTCCGTATCGGGAATCAAACTGGGCAGGTGCTATACTGCTAAGCTACATCCCCGGCCCTTGTTCTCATTTCTTTCTTGAATAGTTTTATCATCTTCCTATCTCCATCACAGGTTCTTTTTGTGTCAGAATTATGGTGAATTTCTTGGGCCCCTCTGAAAAAGAACCTCAGGGAGAGGAGCGTGTAAAGCAAAGCTGCCCTAGAGCTAAACAAAGCAGTGGTTAATTTAAGCAATCTTTGTACCCTGTCACTATTATAGCTCATGCTTATGGATTTTATATGCATTGCAGGTAAAAATCAGATGTTGTCTTTGGGCAGGAAGGTTTCCCTATCCCAAAATACAATTCCTAATTTTCTTCAGGTGCTGTTGATGCATAGAATTCCTTCAAATATTGTCACAAATCTTCAGTCCATATTTATTCACAATGCATATGACCTTAGCAGAAGTAATATTGACCTAGAATTATTAAGTTACTTCTTAAGAACAAGTTTTTATAAAGGAGGATGAGAAAAACCGAAAAGTCACTAGTCTGGAGTTTACATGTTAGCTTCTCAAGCTGACTACAGATGAAGCCAGTTATCTCTGTTGTACTGAAATAACCCTGAGGCATGGATTAGGTACGACCTTAATTCTGAAATGATCAACCACATCACAATCCTCACTTCTGGGCTCTTGTTACTTTTGCTATGTTGCCCCTCTGCCACCCTGTAAATACCAAGTAGTTTCTCTGGTGTGAATACACTGCAATAATACATAAGATCCTAATAAGATTACTGACATGGTGAAATGGGAAGAAAGGGGCTAAAGGTGTAGGGAAGGTGGGATGGGTAGGGGATGGGTAATAAGGGAAAAGAAAAAAATGTGAGATAAAGCAAAGATGGAAATAAAGTGCTTGTAGATGGCGAGGGGAGGAGGGGGTGAAGGGACGGCAGGGACAAGGGGAAAAAATGAGAACCAAGACCTGTCATGTAGAGGTACAAGATCCCAACAATGAATGTAACTGTACTGTATCCCTAAAATGTACCAATAAACTCAATTAAAACTGAAAAAAAATCCTTATTTCTGGAAACACATCTTTTTTTTAAATAGAGAACTTCTCAGTGACTAAAAAAATAAAGATAATGTTTATTAAATGTAATGCTGCTAGGTCTCCAGTTTGCAAACCATCCAAAGTAAAACTAAGCAGTCACAACTAGACTTTCCAGTTAGTGAGTGAATGACTTAAAACACTTCCTTTCCTATTTCTGGTAAATGTATACAATGGAAACCTTTTTGGCTGCAAATTTTCCTTCTTCTGATATAGGGAAGATATTATTAGTTCAATGCCTACAATATGATAGGCATCCACTAGTCTATGCTGGTCAAATAAACTGATTTTTTTTTAGGAGGGGAGAAATTCCTGAGGAATAATGGATAATGAAATTGGACTGCCAATTAATCTGAAATCTGGGTCACTAAAGATTTATATCTTTGATTCATTTTTTTCTGCAGCAAGTGAGAGGGAACTTTGTTAGATTGCAAGCCTGCATCTCAGAGCTCCGCATGTTACAGAGAGAGGGTTGTTTCCGACCACAGAGCATTTCTCTGCAGCTGGCAGTAGAGGATGGTCTCCAGCAGTTCAAGCAGTATAGCAGACATATGAACCCAGGTGCTGCTCTGCCCTACACTTCCCTGGAGGTAAGAGATGCTGACTTTTAGGACTGAAAACCGTCTTCCCATTTTTGGTCTATATAGGTGTTTCATTATTTATAACCCTTACATTGTACTCTGTTTCATACAAGTTGAATGTAATTTTCAAGGCTAGTTTCTCTACTCCTTACAGGAAGAAGTTATGTTTCTCTTTATCCTATAAGCTATACAAGTCTTAAAATATAGATGGGCATAGAAAGGACTCAGTAAAATAGGGGCTAAAGTGAATTATAAGGAAAAGCTGAAATAAAATCTGAATATGCCATCTACTTCCAGATTTTTGGAATTTACAAATCAAACATTAAATTGTATAGATTGGTATTGATATTTATATTTACCTGAATATCCTTAAGAATTTGTAACTATCCTTAATCAAACTGAGTAAATTTTCTTGGGATTATCAAATGTGCAAATGTAAACATTGCTACTATTCCAGTGCCAGATTAAGATAATCTTAAATATATAAGTTAACTTGGCCGCATACTCCATGGGTGCATGAGTATGAGTTAAAATGCTTTTCAGCCTCTGGTAACTTCAGGCAGAAAACAGATGAGTTAAAAGTAATTGTGTGGGACTGCTGTTTTCCAATTTCACATGTAAAGGACTTGGACGTTGCCCCTTCATCCTAAGTACTAGTGAAATACTAAACAATCTGAAAAGTCAACAACTCAGTTTAGATCCCTAAGAGAAATAAGTTCACAGGGCAAACTACTGTCTTCAAAATTAGAGAGACAGATGGACAGAGAATCACAGCATACTGGAGCATAAACCTCCTTGGGAACCAGTGAGGGGGTAGAAAAATATGAACTTTGATGAATAACTGAAAGCTAGAAATGAACGAATATGAAAGTTAAAAACTCCAGAAGGACTCAGCCATGGAGAGGCCTGGATAAATTTAACCAGGCTCTCACAATAAATGTCAAGGGGAAATTACTTTATACCTAAGACAAGGGGAGGGTAAAAGCAACCATTTTGAAATACACCAGAGCATTTTGTTCTTTTTACAAGTTCCGGTCTCAGGAACTAGTTAAGCAGTTAAACAGAGCCTAACCTGCTGGGATTTTCATCAGAGCCTAACTGACCTAGGGGACAAGAATTATTAAAATTGGGCCAGCAATAGACTTCTATGTAGGAGCACACTCTAGCCCTCTTGTCCCAACTAATGGGGAGGGGGAAAAAAACTGAGGGCCCGGGATTTAGCTCAGTGGTTCCACCGCCTGCCTTGCAAGCTCAAGGACTGGAGTTCAATCCCCGGTACCCCCACCAAAGAAACCAAACTGAGAAATGTTTATGAAATTTACAGTTCAGAGGCATGGGTTCTCAAAAGACTAAGATCTAATATAAAATAAAATATAAATTATTTCATATTAGATTTTATGTTATTAAATGTGTACAACTTATTATGTGCAATATATAAAATTGCTTTATATTGGGCTGGGGATTTAGCTCAGTGGTGACGCTGGCTGCCTTACACATACAAGTTCCCAAGTTTAATCTCCAGTACCAAAAAAAAAATTTTTGTTTTATATTATTTTGTTTTCATATCAAGTAATTTAATATAATGCTAATGAATGCTTCCCTTCCTCCCATACCTTAACACCACATCATTAAGGGCCTATTACATCAATCCCTTTGGCCCTGTACATCATGTCTGACTATCAAGAAAATATTATAAAGCACAATAAAAAGCAGTGACACCACTTGAAAAGACAAAACAGGCATTAGAGCTAGACGTGACAGGGATGTTGGCATTATTGGACTGTACAATGTAAAACAACAATGATTGATATGCTAAGGGCTCTAATAGATAAAGTAGATATATGAGAGCAATTTGACAAGAAATCTAATGGATAAAGTAGACAGCATGTTAGACAATAGAAATCAAACACTTAACAGAAATGAAGTTTTTGGTGGGCTGGTTAATAGATTTGTCATGGCTGAGTGAATAATCTCAGAACGTGAGGCTATATTAATAGAAACCTCCAAATTTTGAAAAGAAAAGAAAACAAAAACCGAGGGGGGAAAAGTCCCAGAACAGAATATCTAAGCACTAGGGGAAAATCTACAAAAGGTATAAATAAATATACACAATAGAAATACCAGAAGAAGAAAGAGAAAGGGATAGGAGAGATATTTGAAGCAGCAATGATTGCAAATTTCCTAAATTAAGATCAGACAGCAAACTTAAGACCCAAGAAGTTCTAATCCAATTAGAGAAAAACAAAAACAAAAAACCTATACCTAGACATATTTTTAAACTATGGAAAATCAAAGGTCAAGAAATAAGTCTGGAAGAAGCCCCAGGCGGGGGGGACGGACAAAAAATTTCATCCAATTGCTACTTGAAAAGTATTCAAGCAGGGCCCAGGATTTAGCTCAGTGTCTGCCTCGCAAGCACAAGGTCCTCGGTTCGATGCCCATTACCACAAAAAAAAAAGAAAAAAATTATGCAAGCAAAAAAAGAATGGAGAGAAGGATTTAGTGTTGAGAGAAAATAACCCACCAACCTACAATTCAGTACCCTGTGAAATTATCCTTCAAAAATGAGGGAAAGCCGGATGTGGTGGTACACGCCTGTAATCCCTGCACTTGGGAGGCTGAGGCAGGAGGATCGCTGAGTTCGAGA